CTCTATATTAAAGCGCATCTTGTACTTCTTGGCTTGCTCGAAGACCTTCCTCAAGTGGATCGTTTGATTGGATTCCTCGTGGGATTTCACGATTATGTCGTCCATATAGACTTTGAGCATGTCCCCGATTTCTCCTCGGAAAACTTTATTCATCATCCTTTGGTAGGTAGCGCCAATATTTTTCAAGCCAAAGGGCATTAAGTTGTAGTAATAGTTTCCCGATTCGGTCATGAAGGTCGTGTACCTTTTGTCACTTTTTGCCATGAGTATTTGGTTATAGCCCGAATATGCGTCCATGAAAGATAACAATTTAAAACCGACAGAATTACCAACTAGTTTGTTTATGTTGAGGAGGGGATATGCGTCTTTAAGGCATACCATGTTAAGTTCTCTATAGTCAATGCACATTCGCCATTTTCCATTATTCTTTTTCACGAGTACAACATTGGACAACCAAGTGGTGTATTTGGCTTACGAGATAAAGCTTGCCTCTAGGAGGTCTTTTACAGCTTGTTCAGCAACCTTCATTTTCTCCTTAGACTGTCGTCTTCGTTGAGCTACGACCCTAACGACGAGATCACTCGTGAAGTGGTGACAGGCCACATCAGGGTCTACTTCGGGCATCTCCACGGTGCTCCACGTGAATAGTTATGCATTCTTCCGTAGGCAGGCTCTCAGTTGTTTCCTCGTAAGTTCGGGGAGTTCGGTCCCAATCTTCACTCCCTGCTGGGGGTCATCATCGAGCAATACAAGTTCTAACTCTTCATCCGGAATTCGGCGAATCGGATGGAAAGTTTCACTGCTACTGGTAGACGTGAAGGGGTTGCTCGAAGATGGCTGGATCTCTTTCCTCTTCGCCTCCTGAATCCTCTGGTTGTCTTTGGAGAAGAGGATTTCAAGGTCGAAGGAGCCGACGCAGGACAACGACTTTGTCTCTTCGGCGCTGCTGGGTAGAGAAGACTGGCTGAGAGCCTTTGGCCTGGCAGCGATGGTGTTCAGCCCTTGGAGGCTGCTTCAAAACATCTCCTTGCGGCTTCAATGTCTCTGTGTAGAGTCGCCACGAGACCCTTTGAAGTGTAATATTTCATATTTAAGTGCATTGTTGAAGGCACGACTACCAATTTGGCCAGAGTTGGCTGCCCGAAGATGCATTGGTATAACGACGGGCAATCGATGACTAAGAACTGGACGTTGATTGACTTGGCCATTTCAACGGGCCTGAAACTTACTATCAGCTCAACGTAACCCAGGGCTTCGTTACCGACCCATTGAAACCCTGCAGATCGGAGCTCACGTAGGGTGTCAGATGTGATTCGTCCAACTGGAGGATGAAGAATAGCTGGGAATACATAATATCAACTGAGCTGCCTTGATCGACGAGGATTCGTCAGACGTCAAAAATTTCCATCTGGGCCCTCACAAGCAGAGGGATGCTGGTGTTGGGGGCTCTACCAAGGAGCTCCTCGCGGTAAAATCAGATGAGAATAGACTCTCCCCGAACCCTGTCGAGGATGGAGTTCTTGTTCGAGTTGTTGTTGATAAGGTGCTCGAATTATCTTTTGACGGACCATACCGTGACTTTGTTGAAGCCCCATCCGGAGATGACCATGGTGGAGGGGAAAGTCTCCCACAGGCTGTGCGCGACAAAATATGGAGGGGCATTGAGCCCCTCGGGTATGTAGAAGTCCTCAGGTCGCGAGATGCTCATAGCGACTTGAAGGTTGGTTTCTTCAGAGGAATACACCTCTTCCTCGACCTTCTTGGACTCTTAGGCGTCTTGTTGAGGAACATCCTTCCATTTGGCAAACTGCTTCAAATGTTCGTCCCTAATGAGTATCTCTATGGCATCCTTCAAGTAATGCAGTCGTCGGTCATATGGTCGTGGCTCTTGTGGAACCGAAAACATTTTGATTTGTCCGTGTTTGGTTTGGATGGTATCTGCTTCGGAAACCGGACTCCCGCTTGCCGAAATTCTGAGTTGGTACATTCAGAAAGGATCTTTTCTCGAGAGACTGTCAGGGGAGTATACTCGTGGAACTGGCCGGAAGACCCTTTGTTGTCCCGGGGCTCTCGGGGACGGTCTTCGCGTCTTCTATCTCCTCGACGGGATGTCGGTGGCTCTTCAAACTTGGAGGATCGGGAACTCTCCCAATGCCTCGAATCTCAGGCAGAACTGGCGGCCTCCTTCTATTCATACTGGATGTACGCTTGTGCTTTGAAGAGGAAGGCGTCAACATTGTTGGGGGCTGAATGCCTACAACTTTAGCAAATTCAGTGCGGGGACGGAGCCCGCGCTCGAGCAGAAACTTCATCATGTCATTGGTCATGGAGACCTGGACAGCTTCCTTATTGAACTTTTCGAGGTAGGCTCGCAGGGGTTCATCCTTCCTTTGAATGATGGCCTCAACGGAGGCTTCGGTCTTCGGGTGCCAACGAGAGGTTGTGAAGTGTCTGGAGAACATTCTCCGCAGTTGCCTCCATGAGGTGATGGATTCGTTAGGGAGTCTTTTGTACCAGATCATTTCCCATTTTCTAAGTGTGGTCGGGAACAACCTACATTTGATGGCGCCCTAAACGCCGCGGTAATCGAGTAGTGCATCGATATTTTCAATGTGCTCGTCGGGATCTATAGTACTATCGTATGTGCCAAGAGAAGAGGGTTTCTCCAGTCCCTTTGACAGGCGAATATGCATAACCTCTTTGGACAACGGACCGCGAGGCTCGTCGTCACTGCTGCTGCTGAACCATGACGGGGAGTGGGTGCCCTGTCTACAGGTAGGATGACGATATCGACGGGGAGATGGGCGTCGTGCTCGGCCCTTGGATCTGGGCGGAGGCGAACGCTGGGGCTCTGCTTGGTGATCTCTTTTGATCCTCTTGGGTTGCGGGGAATGCTGGTTCCGAGGAGAGATGTGGTCGTGCTTTCTGACGGTCTGGGTCTCTGGCCCTAGAGGTGTCCAACGGTTTCTTTCACGTCAGGGCTCCAATCCTCGCGTTCTAGTTAAGGATTAGAAGGTTGGTCTTGTTGAGAACTTCGAGGAGGGCAGCCATGGTCGGGTCAATGCTGGGAGAAACTGGAACTGAAAGGTGCTCTGGGAAGAGTGGGACTTCGTTGTGATCTGCGCGAATGGGAGATGGAGAAGCAATGGCTATGTCCCTTTGTCGGAGGATGTCGCCCTAAGAGAGGTGGTTACTCCGTCAATATTAGTCTTGCTGACGGGGAGGAAAGCAGAGTTGAGAGCATCATGAGTGTTGTCACGGCTGGCCATGATCGGAATTTGGAAGAACTATTTTGGTCTCGAATCTACGATGGGAGAAAAAACGGGGATAACAAGTTTCCCACAGACGACGCCACTGATCTTGACGGCTGGCTGATCAGAACCTGAAGTGGGACAGCGACAATCGTTTGTGATACTGGGTGTGAAAGAGAAGGAGGGGGTGGACCTGCAAGGCACTTTGATGCTAAAGTAAGAATCGGGAGAAAGAAGACAAATATAGAATATGTGTGTATTAAGGTGAATGTTGAATATATGACCCTCTCATATGAAAGGGTTCTTATAGTTCCCTCAACGCTTGGTCATTGGTCTCTATTTTCGGTGCGAGATAACTGTTTCCCGAAGAATATGTAACTGCCAGAACTAGTGGTTGGAACGGGCAGAGGTGCTCATAACTAGTCGTTGCTACGGGCAGAGGCGCAGTTATGGGCACAAGCGTCTTGATTGTTTTTGGATGGTAGACCTGTGTGTGACAGGCAAAGACTGGGGAGGAATAGTGTGGGTCCAGGAGTAACCCGGTCAATCTCCCCTGTTGGAGGAGCAGAAAGATAAATGCTCCCCTGTTGGAGGAGCAGAAAGATAAATGCTCCCCCTAATTAGTTGGACTTAAGAAATTAAGTCGTTCAGGAAGTAGAAGTAAATTGGATCATGCATAACCATTAAGGCAGTTCGGAACACCTCTATTATTTATTAAAAAATACCCTAATTTCATTTCTCTTCTTTTTTTTCTCTCTCTTTTTTATTGTTTTTGGCGGAAACATCAAAAACTCCTCTAAATCTTTGGCATGGAAGACTTTCAAACAACATATCAAGCTCATTGAATATTCTGTACGCACCGGTTTATAGCATCTATTACGACTTTTCACTAAGAGTATAGTAAGAAATTACTCAATTCTTTTACACATGATTGGTAAAAGTATCTATGATTATTTTATCATATTAAAAACCTCTAAATGAACCATATATATGGAAGAGAAAACTGTTTTGTCCCAGTTCCTAATATGAATTATCTTTAGAAACAAATAAAGGTGAGAAATGAAGAATCTCCTAGTTTATGATATTATGGTAGTTCATTCAAATTAGAGCTTCTCGCCAAAGTGGATTCGTTTGGTTGGTAAGGAATTGAAACGCTCTCTGAGTGTGAATCCAGAGTCCAACTCACCTAAATTTTTTTTGAAGCAAAAATAATAGAACTTCTAAGAAAAACGTGTAATTCAAATTATTGTGCTTAGCCTTCTAGAGAAGATGCAAAACAAGAAGACCAATACATCTTGCAAAGAGTTGTTGTGCAAAAACATCATGGCAGCAATAATCAACCATTTGTATGTTCTTTATACCGATCATAGAAGATGAAAAATAAAACAGGCTGAAATACCATGATAGCATTGTAACTTAAGTGTAAAAAAACAACAAAAACATAATCATTATTCCCTAAGCCAAGCATTATAATATAGTTATAGCACAAGGAAGGGTAGAGCAAATCATGAAATAGTCCCCACATAAATTAAAGAAAACATTACAGAATCGCAGTAATATATCTTTTGTGATACATATCATAGTTTGATGGTAACATAAAGTAGTACATCCTAAATCTCCAATTCAACAAAAAAAAGCAATTCTCAACATCAAAACTAATATAAAGAATAGGCCACCAAACAAAACCACTCTAAGGTGAATAGCCCATTCTTACATATATTTGGTGAAAAGAAGCAGGCGAATTTAAGTTTAATCTTTCCACATATCTGCAAACTCATCAGGCTCCAGAGGATTCGCCATCTCATGCCTTTTCCTCCTTGTCTTTGCTTTGACCTTCTTTGCAAATGTTCCAGCCTTTTTCTTCTTCTGTAAAGCTCGTATCTACAGCAACCGACATAAAAGATTTAAAAACACAAACAAGATGAAGATGTAGTTATTTTCAATACAAAAACTAGAGAAATTAAGAGTATAAATAAGAGCATGTTGGTTGGCACCTGGTTTGGCGACACGTAGAATGGATTCTCATATAGAGTTGGACCTCCAAAACTGCCACCAAATATTTTAATTGGGTTCAAGCAGAACCGTGGACCGACCTACACAAGTATTTGCACAAATAGGTTAAAGGAAATTTTAGGAATTGACAAATCAATATATAAAATCGATAAGCAAGCTTGCAGACCTCACCTCAATTAATGTCATTTTATCAAGGCCCCCTCGGGGTAATTTGTCTGATTCATTATGAGGAACAGAGATCTGCATGGGAATAAAGACGTGGTTGATTTAAAATTGCTCAGTAAACATCATGAAGCAGAATGAGACAAACATTGCAAAGCCATGTTCGCAAAACAGTATGCCAATTATTAAGACGCCTCTAAACAGTGACAATTATTTATATCTTGTGCAAATCGAAACACAAACCTGATAATTTCGGAACCATATATGGTCATCAACTATTGAGAAAACAAAAACATGGTCATGGAAAGGCTTAGCCTTTCTATGGTCCTTTGGTGTTTCAAATATCTGAATGAAGCAAAGAAAGAGTATGTCAGCATATCTCAAGGTACAAGAACCAACATTAATTAAATTGTATATATGAACATTTGAGTGGTCCACATTCTACTCTATTTAAACTATGACTACAGCCAAACATAACAATAATAGAATTTCTAAGGTAAACAGTTGACAGCTTAGAAAAATCCTAAGATATATAACAGCTGCACTGCAAAATCACATAAACAAAAGAAAAGTGCAAATTAAACAAGTTTCAATCACAACAGCAATTCATACAGTCCAAAGCACCAAACTAAGATTATATTATTGAAATAACTGTTGTTTTTTAATCTAAAACAGTATATAGAAGAGTGATGAACCGAATACCTGTAACAGCATCTCCTTCAGCAGTTTCCAGTGTGCATCTTTTTCAAAATTTGATGAAAATGTCAAAAGTGGGCGGGAACCTTTTAGGTGATTCCCAGTTAGCTTCAATTCCTCCATTGTGTGCACTGGAAATAGTGAGGGCAAAAGAGAAACTAGTAAATTGGCCTCAGTAAAAGAGTTAATCATAATTTAAAAGGAAGAATGAAGGACTAATCTATATACTGATATCAATACTATATAATCATATCAGCAAAATTGGTGGCTATAGTAACCTGAAGATAACAATCAGATGAGAATATTACCGGCACTAACTAAAAATTTAACAGATGGGCCATTCGGGCATTTTGACATCCAGAGATAAAGATCTTTTGCCTTCCTGCACTGAAATTCATATATACAGAATGGGAAAGTAAGACAGTTATCCAAATCACACTAGTTGATTAGAGTTGGCAAAGATTAATAACTGGAGCTCAAAGTCAAAGATTAAGTGGAAAATGGTGCTCCAACAATCAGATTTCAAATTGATCAAACTGCTTAAATACAGAAGAAAAGCCAATTTAGGAAGGAAATTGAAGGAGCGCAGGGATGCTATACATTTAAAGTTAATATGGTTAAAACAAAAATCCTTAAAATATAAAAGAATCAAATGTACAATAATCTCAAACAGAAAAGAGATGCTATGTGTTTGAAACTACCCATCAACAATGCATTGAATCTATCTAAATAACAACATTTGCAACAAATAAAATAACTCCTTGCACCACACATATGCAGTGAGTTTTCTGACTCAACAGCAGCAGCATAGCTCATAAGATAATCCAAAGTTGGCACTAAAAACCTAATAGCCTAAAAAAGTTAAAAAAGAATACCTCGAAAAATAAACAAGATGAACAGTTTTTGAGCTCAACAAGCTCGTTCAATGTAGCGCCTTTAGTTTCTTTTGATTCAACCTTGTTATCCTTCTTGCAATGAGGTAGAAGCGATACTATGTTCAACATCAAATGTCGGTACCTATAATCCGTTAATGAAAAACACTCCACCTCATCAATAAACCATAATCAAGATCTAACCCACAATAAAAACAAAATGCTCATTATGCTTAATTCTTGGTGTTGTCGAATAGGAATCACAAAAATTCAGAGTTTGATCAAATTTCCTAAGCAACAATACTACAACCACTTTCTTTGACAACATCTTCTACTTAATAGTGTTTCATAGAGCAATAGTGGTTTGTTCATATTCCGATATCACCACTATTTAACAACAATGTTAATTCCACACATGAATAAAAGCATTTTGTTTACATATTATTTTATTGGACAAGAAATAAACAAATCAAAACTCAAAACAAGCACAAACTCATTGAATACAAAAACACATAGTAATTGTGTTTTGTAGTTTATACCTGAAAACAATTCGCCTAGAGCAAGTAACCAAAACTTTCTCTTTGTTCCTGAATATAGGTGAAGAACCATTGTCCTTCGCCTCAACTTCATTTTCATTTTCATTCTCATTCTTATTCTTCCATCCCAGAAGAGTCCTAACTGGTCTCTCTGGAGCAACATCATCCTTTTTGGGAACCGCTGCAGCTTCAGCCTTCTCGCTGCGCTTTCTCTTCTTCCCCATGTTTTTTGGCTACAAATCTGCCACATAACATATATCGGAAACACTAATTAATCACAATAAAACAAACTTTTTTCTTTTTTTAAACTGGTGAGTTTATAGATGGACATCAGAAATTGACTTGAAGTGGAATTAGCTGGAACAATAAAAGCTTATGCTGAACTAAATGAAAATTTAAGAATGTATGTGCAACTTTGTCAAAAGAAAAGAATTCAAAGATAATTGGTCCAAAAGTATAGAACAATAGTAACAACTATATAAATAATCTCCATGGCATCACAACTTCATATATATAGAAGACACTAACTAGAACCTGTTTTCCATCAAAAAGTTATAAACATTACCCACAAAACCCTGAAAAAAATTGAAAACACGATATTTTTCTTTTGAATAGAAGACTAGTTAACATTAGCAATTTTGCAAGTTCAAGCTGCAACAAAAGAGGAATTGAAATAAAATCATCGTCAACACATCCAGAAAACATAACACCTTAACTAAATTGACAATCAAAATCAATAGCAGCAGAAACACTGAACAATATGAACAATATGAACAATCGTAAATGTAGATATATAAGATAGATATGGGCGCATCTCACTGATTCTGAGGCCGGTGAGAAACTCCGGCTAGCTTTTGATTTCCGGCGAGTTGAGCAACTTGGTGGAGCTGCAGAGTTTTGTACGAGTCTCTGCGGCGTCTCTGTTGAAAACGGAAGAGGGGCGCCTGCTGAGTATTATGTTGGTTAGGGTTTTAGGGTTTTATTTATTTAAGACAAAATTATTGATACGAACTTTCTAAATTTTCCTTAATAATTTTTAAATTTAAATTCATTTTTTATTCTTTTAAGAATTTAACTAATATGTACGAAAGTATAAAAAGATTCTACGCTATCAGTTAATTATAGACGTTTGATGTAAAAAGAAATTTGACTTTTATTTTAATAATCTATAAAGTAATGTAAACGGATGATGGTGATGAATTGACCGTGTAAAACTTTTTAAAATGTCAGTGCACAGTAATCAATCTCTTCTTTTAATCTTCATCTTAAAAATTAACTTTTTCCATCCTAAACTTTAATTGACATTGTAAAACTTTTTACGCTGTTAGTGCATAGCGATTTATTACGTAAGATTAGGTTTTGTTAGAATTGGTGTCTAATCGAGTTGAATTGGTGATTAAATTATGAGAAACAACGGAGGTTAGAATTCGTCGATATTGAATCGTTGTATAAACACACCTCGTAGAATATACAACTGAATAAATTGAAAACTTTTGTGTATCATCCTTAAACCATCGATTTGTTTTTGTAGATTGGTTAAGCATTAACGTGATCAAGTTTCAAAAAGTATAATTTTCATATTTTCGCTTCAAACCTTCTGCCCACATTTTTGAAAAACCTGTGATATTCTATTTTTGAAAAAACAATTGATTTTTTAAGAAGGGTTTATTCAACGCTGTTAAAAATATTTTATATTTTACAAAACTTAGTGATTAAACTTTGTTAGAAGGTAATTTAGTATTTTAGTATGTTGCTTATGTGGCCCTAATTTTTTGTGCATAAATAGACTAATGGTAGATGTCATTTAATTGTAATTCTTTCTTACAACTTTGTAGCCGTCATTTGCAGAATATAAACATATTCTCTCATTCTATTCATCTCTTTTAACCTTGTGCACCAACAATTGGTATCTAGAGCTCTAGTTCGGATCCACATGGAAACACGGGAAACACGAGTGAAACAGTGAGGCGTTGTGTGGTTGATTTTGTTTCTTGAATTCGTGTTGAATCTTGAACAAAATCGTAACAGAATCACATTTTAATGATTCTGCAAGATTGGGAAGTACTGTGTTTGGTGAGATCTGAGTGATTGCACAAGGCTGAAGATGAACGAAAACGGTGGTCTGAGCACCAAGCTTCCACTGTTTGATGGAAAAAACGGGATTGTTAGATGATTCAGATGCGTGTACCATTCGGTGCTCAAAATGTGTTTGATCTTGTCACTAAAGGTTACGTTCTAGTAGCAGCAAATGCAACGGGGGAACAAAAGAACGCGCAGAAAGATACGAGAAATAAATATCAAAAAGCATTGTTCTACATCCATCAGTGTGTTGATAAAAATGTGTTTGAGAAAATCGTTGATTCAACGATGGTGAATGTTGTGTGGGATACACTGGTCAGGTGCTATGGTGGTGACGCATCAGTGAAGAAGGTGAAGCTTTAGTCCCTACGAAAGTAGTATGAGAATCTCAACATGAAGAACAATGAGAAGGTATCTGAGTACATCTCAAGAGTGATTCTGATCATTAATGAGATGAAAGCTTGTGGAGAAACCCTTTATGAACAAGTAATTATTGAGAAGGTATTTAGATTCCTTACCCCTCAGTTTGATTACATTGTGGTAGCAATAGAACATTCTAAAGACCTGAGCACCATAATAATTGAAGAGTTGCAAAGTAGTCTAGAGGCACAAGAGTTGCGTCTGATTGAGAGAACTTATGAAAGGGAAGTAGAGCAGTAGGCTATGAAAATTATTTTTGATAAAAAGCATCAGATGGTATTCAGAAGTCAGAAACCTCAACTTCTGATAAGCAGAAGAATGCTCAAAAGGAAAATGAAAGGTATGACAAGAAGAAGATCCAATGTTATTGTTGTAAGAAGTTTGACCATTTTGCTGCTGATTGTTGGTTAAACAAGGAAAGGAAGTCAGAAGAAGCAAATATAGCCAGAAGTTCTGATGATGAATCTGTGTTACTGATGACTTATGAATCTGATGGTACGGATTTGACAGACTGGTGGTATATGGGCACTGGCTGCTAAAATCATCTTACTGGAAATAAGAAATGACTGGTTGACTTTGACTCTGAAAAGAGGACAAAGATCAGATGTGTTGATGATAAATATCTCAACACTGGAGGTATGGGAAATGTCAGAGTCGTTCTGAACAATGGGAAAATAACATTGATTCAAAAAGTGTAGTATGTATCTGGCATGAAAAGGAATCTGATGAGTGTGGGGCAACTAATTAAGAAAGGTTTTTCAGTTACCATGAAGGATAATCTTCTGAAGTTGTATGACTGTAATCAGAAGCTGATTATGGAGTCGGAACAGAGAAGGAGTAGAACATTCAAGGTGAATGTAAGAACTGCAGATACTGAATGTCTTAGTGTAACAAGTGTTGCGTAGGAAAGTGAATTGTGGCACATAAGATTTGGTCATCTGAATTTTAGAAGCTTAGGGCATCTGAATTCAAAGAAGCTGGGACATGGAATTCCTACAATTAAGAAGCCTGAAAAGTCATGCAAAGTGTGCATGGAAGGAAAGCAACTAGGATTGCCATTTGCGTCAGAAGTGGCTCTAATAGCAAAGCATGCCTTAAGAGTAGTGCATTCTAACGTGTGTGGTCCATTTCCAATAACATCGATTGGAGGGAATAAATACTTCGTGTCATGTGTTGATGAATTCACAAGAATGACATGGGTGTCCCTTATAAAGTTCAAACACGAGGTGTTTGTTGAATTCAAGAAGTTCGTAATGAAGGCTGAAAATCAGAGTGGTCAGACTCTAAAGATTTTCATAACCGACGGTGGATGTGAGTATAATTCCACTGAGTTCAGAAAGTTTTGTGAGGATAATGGAATTGAACATGAGGTTACTGCTCCTTATACTCCTCAACACAATGGTCTTGCTGAGAGAAGAAATTATACTTTGCTTGATATGACGAGAAGCATGTTGAAGGAGAAGAAGCTTCCTCACACCTTATATGGAGAAGTTGTTATCACCGCAACATATGTGCTCAACAGATGTCCGACGAAGAAGCTGGAGGAAATAGTTTCTATTCATAAATGGACTGGAGATAAGCAAAGTGTTAGCCATATAAAGGTATTTGGTTTTGTAGGTTACAAACATGTTCCGGAAGCCAGAAGATAGAAGTTGGATGATAGAAGCAAAGTAATGTTACTAGTGGGGTACCACAGTACAGGTGCGTACAAGCTCTACTGTCCAGAACCTAATAAAGTTGAATTCAGCAGAGATGTCATTGTAAAGGAATCAGAAACTTGAAACTGGAACAAGTCTTAATCTAACTCTGATGTGAGAACTTCTGAAGAAAGTTTAGAATTAGAAGTTTCTGAAGATGAGTCAAAAACTGGAGAAGATTCTGAAGTTAGAGTATACTCTGATGGTGATTCTGACTCAGAAGGTGAAATGATTTTGATCCAAATTCTGGTGGTGATTCAAATTTTGGGAATATTCTAGACTCTAAAGGTGGTCAAGGTTCTGAAGAAGGTCAAACTTCTGAAGCAAGAGCTTCTGAATGAGAAGATTCTGAAGATAGAACATCTGGAGTTCAAGCATCCAAAGGAGATTTTGAACAAGGTCAGAGGCCACAGAGAATTATAAACATTCCGAGAAGATTTGCAGAGTTTGACATGCTACAAGACACTGAAGTAGATTCATAAGGAGAAGTTATTCAGTGTGCTATGTTAGTATACTCTGAACCCGTAAGCACAAAAGAAAATCTTGAGCAGAAAGTCTGGCTAAATGCCATGAAAGAAGAACTTGATGCTATAGAGAGGAATAAGACTTGGAAGATGACAGAACTTCCAAAGAACAAGAAAGCCATTAGCGCCGTATGTGTTTTCAAGCAGAAGCTAAATCCATATGGATCAATTAACAAACACAAAGCGAGGTTAGTAGCAAGAGGATTTTTGTAGAAATCTGGGCTGAATTATTTTGAAGTGTTTGCACCTGTGGCGAGACATGAAACAATCGGACTGGTAATTGCAATAGATGCTAACAGGAATTGGTCTTTTATGCATTTAGATGTGCAATCTGCATTTCTGAACGGTCTATTACAAGAAGAGGTATATGTGTCACAACCTCCTAGATTTGTTAAAAAGAATCAGAAAGGGATGATGTACATATTACATAAAGCTTTGTATGGATTGAAGCAAACGCCCAGAGCTTGGAATTTGAAGATTGATTCATTTATCAAGGAGAACGAG